TGTCCCAGTGTCCCCATGGGGTCCCCGGTTGTCCCCGGTGTCCCAGTGCCAGCAGTGTCCTGGGTGTCCCTGGTCTCCCCAAGGGGTCCCTGGTGTTCCAGTTGTCCCCGGTTGCCCCCATGAGTCCCCAGTGTCCCGGTGCCAGCAGTGTCCCAGGTGTCCCCATGGGGTCCCGGTGTCCTGGGTGTCCCCGGTTGTCCCCTGGTCTCCCCATGGGGTCCTGGTGTCCCGGGTGTCCCCGGTTGTCCCGGTGCCCCGGTGCCAGCGGCGTCCCCAGTTGTCCCCGGGTGTCCCCGGTGTCCCGGTGCCAGCGGTGTCCCCGGTTGTCCCGGTGCCAGCGGTGTCCCGGTGTCCCAGTGTCCCCATGGGGTCTCCGTGCCCCAGTGCCAGTGGTGTCCCCGGTGTCCCCGGTGTCCCCGGTGTCCCGGTGCCCCGGTGCCAGCAGTGTCCCCATGGGGTCCCGGGTGTCCCCGGGTGTCCCCGGTGTCCCCGGTTGTCCCCGGTGTCCCGGTGTCCCGGTGCCAGCGGTGCCGTTGCAGGGCCGGGTGCTGGTGTCGCCATGTCCCCGTGTCCCCATGTCCCCATGATTTCCCTTTTTTTCTATTTTTTCTTTTTTCTTTTATTTCCCTTTTTTTCTTTTATTTCTCTTCTTTTTTATTTCTTTCCCTTTTTTTCTTTTTTCCTCTTTTTTTTTCTTTTATTTCCCTTTTCCCCCGTTTTTCCCCCTTTTCTTTTTTCCCTGTTTTTAAAATTTTCCCCCCTTTTTTCTTTTATTTCCTTTTTTTAATTTCTCCCTTTTTTCTTTTATTTCTCACTTTTCTTTTATTTCTCCCCTTTTTTCTTTTATCCTTTTCTCCCTTTTTTTCTTTTATTTCCCTTTTCTTTATTTTCCCCCTTTTTTCTTTTTTTCTCCTTTTTTTTCTTTTTCCCCCTTCTTTTATTTCTTCCCTTTTTCTTTTTCTACTTTTTTCTTTTGTTCCCCTTTTTTCTTTTTTTCTTTTTTCTCCTTTCTTTTCATTTTCCCCTTTTCTTTCCTTTCTCCCCTTTTTTCTGCTTTTCCCTCTTTTTCTTCCTTTTTCCCTCCTTTTTCATTTTTCCCTCTTCTTTATATCCCTTCTTTTTTCCCCCTTTTTATTCTTTTTTCCTCTTTTTTTAACCCCTTCTTTTCCTCTTTGTTTTTAAAATTCCCCCTCCTTTCCCCTCTTATTTTTCCCCCTGGATTTTTTTTCTGTCTTTTCCTCTCCATCTTTTAAAAACCTCTTTTATTTTCCCACTTTGCCTTCTGTTTATTTTATAATTTTTTAATTCCCTCCCTCACGCTCTGCGCTGCTCCCACCTCAACCCCGTTTTTATCGCATTGTACCCAGCCCCCCGCGGCCGCTTTGTACAAGGTGCAACTCGATACTTTATGTAGTTTTTATATGTTGTAATATTTCTTCAAATAAATCGCGCCTATAAGTTATAAAACAATTATAAATAAATTTTTGTCCGCCGCGCTACGAGTAGGCCGCAAACCCCCATGGCGGCGTTGCGTAGCAACCGCTTCCCGCCATGCCCCGCGCGGGGCGCTTCCCGCCTCCCCACTGCCGGAAGTGACGCGCGCGGGCCGGAAGTGGCGGGCGGCCTTTCCGGTGTGGCGGCGTGAGGGCGGCGGAGGCGGCGATGCCGACCGGGGACTACGAGTGAGGGGGGAGCGGGGAACGGGAACCGGGAACCGGGAACGGGAACGGGAACCGGGAGCGGGAGCCGGGATGGGGCCGGGACGGGGTTTTCAGGTGGATCGGGAGCGGCGGCGGCGGCGTCGGGCCTGTGGCTGCGTGAGGGGAGCGGGAGCGGGAACGGGATCGGGAACTGGGAACGGGGACCAGGAACGGGATCGAGAACCGGGACCGGGAGCGGGAACCGGGATTGGGAATTGGGATCGGGAACCGGGATCGGGGAACGGAAGGGGAACCGGGATCGGGAGTTGGGAACGGGAACCGGGATCCGGGACCGAGACTGGGAACCGGGATTGGGAGCGGGAACCGGGATCAGGACTGGGGACGGGAATCGGGATTGGGAACCAGGAATTGGGATCGGGACCGGGATTGGGAACGGGGGTCGGGAACAGAATCGGGAGCGGGACCAGGATTGGGAACAGGAACCGGGATTGGAAACCGGGATCGGGAATTGGGAGCGGAAACCGGGGTCGGGAGCAGGAACCGCGATCGGGAACTGGGAACGGGATCGGGATCGGGAATTGAGAACGGGAACCAGGAACGGGATCGGGAACCGGGAACGGGAACCAGGAACGGGATCGGGAATTGGGAACGGGAATTGGGATTGGAAACGGAACCTGGATTGTGAATTGGGAACGGGATCGGAGCCGGGAACGGGGAACAGGATCGGGAACCGGGATCGGGAGTTGGGAACAGGAACCGGGGACAGGAATTGGGATCGGGAACCAGGATTGGGGAACAGGAATGGGAACCAGGATCGGGGAACGGGAATGGGAACCGGGATTGGGAACCGGGATTGGAAACTGGGAACCGGGATCAGGACTGGGGATGGGAACCAGGATCGGGGATCAGGGAATGGGAACCAGGAATGGGAACCGGGATCGGGGAATGGGAACCGGGATCAGGGAATGGGAACCGGGATCAGGGAATGGGAACCGGGATCAGGGAATGGGAACCGGGATCGGGAATTGGGAACGGGAACCGGGATCAGGGAATGGGAACCGGGATCGGGAATTGGGAACGGGAACCGGGATTGGGAACCGGGATCAGGACTGGGACCGGGATCAGGAACAGGCTCGGGGCTCGGTCCCGGTTCGGGGTCCCCGCGGTCCCAGGGGCTTCGGGCGGGGCCGTGAGGGGGAGGGGGGGCGGGAGGGGACAGAGGGACACTGAGGGGGGACAGGGCCACTGAGGGGACAGCGGGCAACTGAG